CAAACAAAGTAGTTTCACTTTCACAACGAAACACACAGCGCCTTCACGACATGTCTGCAGCGGCAACAATACTACAGCGAGAATAAAAGTTGCGCCTTCTTTCTTTGCGTGAACATTTGGCCGGCGTTATGCAAATCTTCCCACATCGTGACGTAGACATGTGGGGGCGTGTTAGAACGAGTCGTTTTAAGTAGGCGTGGTTGACGCTTAACTTTTATAAAGAATATCTCTTTGGATTTGAGACTTTAGTCTTTGCAACTTTACAGATCTTCTTTATGCACCAAGAGCTTGTAACACTTCAAAGAGAAAGGAAAAATTGAAATCGCATCATATGACCCCTTTAATGGATTTACTGGCTACAGTATGTGGTTGATGACTTTGATGTAAACTGCAGCATAATGGATGGTTTAAATTGCAAGAACGATAGGTTGGCATCCTCTGGCTTTTTTTTTTTTAAAGAGACAAACAGTCTTCTACTGTAAATGTTTGTGTTTTGTCTTCTCTGCCTGCATGTAAAGATTTGAGCCTGTCACATCTTCTTGCAGCTTTTTTTCCCTCAGTGGAAAATTTACCATCAGAAGTTTATCTCGGATGCTTGAAATTGTTTTTTTTCCTCCTCTAGAGCTCCATGTGATGACTCGTATGTGAACTATTAATTATATCAAGCCACCAAATTTAGTGTGTAAATGTTTTTATGTGAGACAGTTTTTCACATAGAGCAGTGGTTCTCAATCTTTTTGACTCGAAGGCTTCTTCTGAGACAGTATTCAAAGGCCATCCTATCTGAAGCTAAAATATACCTCTGGTACTTCTGCTGTAATAAAAACAAATAAACTCAAAAATATGATGTCAGTTTAATGTTATACATCTTCATTTTCAGTATTTTAATTAAGGTTGTGTTAATATAACTAAATGTAAGTATTTTTAAAAACTTCCGAGGGCCCTTCTTTTGAAATAAATAACCACTGACATTGTATTAAGTGACACAGTAAACTCCACCATTTGGTGCAAAATAATTAAATAATTAATCATATTATTTTATCTTTTACTTAAACTTTTTCACTTACTGTAAGCAGTAAAAACTTGACTCAGGTGTGATTTTATACAGGAATCCCTCCTACTAAGTACCATTATGTGGACGATCTGGTTGTGATCCTTCCCCAAAATGTGTGGGAATATCTCTACAACAGGTGAGTCATGCATAGCAATGCACATTTCTGACGTTTAGAAAGTCCTCAGGACGTTTACCAGCTTAGTGGAATATGGGATGACTTTTGAGCTTTTGATCTGGTGAAGTCAACAAAACCTCAGTCCAACCCTGAACTATGGAGTTCTGTCGGTTCAAGACATCTGATGTCATGTGTAAGGCACTCCACCAGCAGTGCAATGTAAACATTGTTGAGTTATGTGTTTGCTCTTTTCACTGGCCATACTTTGAAAGTTTCTTCATGTTTTGAAAAATTTTTCACAGGTTTGGGGGAGGCCCGGCTGTGAATCACTTATACGTGTGTGCCATCTGCCAAGTAGAGATCGAGACTTTAGCCAAACGCCGGAAACTGGAGATAGACACCTTCATCAAGGTGGACATATTACTTCAAGTGACATCCAAGTACAGACAGATTAGTGCCTGCTTGAGTGTTGCCGACTTTTGTAGCCCACTTAAAAGTATACAGTGAGATGCTACCCACCACCATAAGACTGGGAGGAAGCGTACTTGAATACTGTTCCTCTAGGTTATGTCCTCAGATCTGCAGCATTTTTATGTAACATGGTGTGGAAATTCCTCTTGGAAGGAGCATGATGTTCTTGGAAGTGTTTGGTGCTCGTAAAAGCCAGAGAACTGATGAAACACAGACTGCATGCTGGACAGATCAAGGGTGCAATCTGCACTGCAATCTTACCAGAAGTGCAGCATCTGTGAGATGCATCACTAGCTTTGAATCAGACATGTTTTAAAGCTTTGGAAAAATCTGAAGGTCATGTTTGAAACTCAGCAGGTTTGCAAGGGGCACCTCAGAATGAAATAAAACATAATTGCTGTATAATACAATATGGTCAAATGCTGAAATGCTCAGATTGGTTCGAGAGAGTTTGATAATCCTCATATTTCGCTCTCTGTTTCTCTTTGTCTCTCCGTCTACAGTTAAACAAGGAGTTTCAAGCTGAAGAAGCGCCTACAGTCATCCTGTGTATCAGCATGCAGTGGTTTAGAGAATGGGAGAACTTTGTCAAGGGCAAAGACAACGGTACAGTCTCATACAAACAGAGTAATGCACATCTCAACAAATATATGATACTGTTTATTTTTTTTATCGGAGAGAATATGCAGCAAAATAAATCATTTTATCTGTGGCATTTAGTTCACTGGCCTGCGGGAGGTATGTAAGTGTCTGCATATATTGTGCGACCATTGTGACGTGTTCTATTTGTATTTGAACAATTGACGTGTATGTAACGTTGAATGTAAAAATCAAAATTTTTAAGTGCTATAATCAGGTCCCCGAAGCATATACCAGCCAAGGAAACGTGAAAAAGATTAACCCAGTAACTTTGTTTTGGTAAGCCTTTTTCTGAAAGCGTCTGAGAAAACAAGCGTGTCTGATTTCGCTCCCTTGGTGAGGTGGCAAAGGGATCTCATTATAATATTACCGCCCCTTCATCTGTAACTTTCTACCCACGGCGCCATCATTTTGATTTCACAAGTGACAACGGTGTACCAGCTCTAATGCCATGGCGAAAGTTTGAGCAAAACATGCTAACTGTTCTGCCTTTGTCTGCATAGATGAGCACAGAACACTATTTAGATCTAAAATAAACATGCAATTTATTTCCCAGCTGTTTACCTTCACAGACATATCCGACTGTTTTTGTAACTCGTGTGTTTTTAACGTAAACCTTTGTGTGAATGAGAACTTAGTTTAGTACTCACATGCTGTGACAGCCGCTTTCTGTCCGTGTGCTTCAAATGTGTGCACTCAGAAAACCGTATATCAGAAGTTTAAACTCATATGGTTTAAACAGCATGATTTCAGTGCGATAAACATGATAATCAGAACCAAAACAGATGTTTTTTTTAGCAGGTCCAAGCTGTAATGGCGCAGCTCTATTCTGGAAAAGGGGCGGGGAGCAGCAGCTCATTTGCATTTAAAGAGATAGGCCTGCAAAACAGCGTGTTTCTGCTTCCACTCAAAATAGGCATTTTCAAAATGTTATAATAAATTATCTGTGGAGTATTTTGAGCTGAAACTTCACAGACACATTCTGGGGACACCAGAGACGTATATTACATATTGTAAAAAGGGGCATAATATGTCTCCTTTAATGGAAAATTGCAGTATTTATTACAAATAATTTATCCTTGCACATTTTGTTATTTGTGTGCCCTTATAAACTTTAATCAAAAGCATTAATATCCCCTCCCCCTTACAATGACGTCTCATCTCTGATGATGTGTGAGTGTGAGGGCTGGGTAATTAGTTTGTCCAATGGCCAGATGTGTTGCAATCCCTTTCCTCCAGCAACTTGTCACTCACATGAAATGATCAACAATCCAATCAATTCCCGATGGACAAAAGTCCCACACTCATTTTTTTGGTCTTGTTTGAGATGCCCTTCACTCGCATTTTATGTCATAATAGGGAGGAACAGTCAATCACAATCTCCAATAAATGCTGACTTGATAGGTTACCTGAAAATAAAAATTACTCATAATTCATCAGTTAAGCCCCGTTCAGACTACACGATTTTGGCACGATTTGCTTGACGTAGGGTGTCGTGGGGATTTGTATACGACAATGGCCGTCGGGACGCAAGATTCAATCGTTTCATCTCGTGTAGTGTGTCATAGTGCACGACAACCGATGCCATGTCTGCGACGCTTCACGACATCAACACAGAAAGTCTAGCATGGTTAATTTTTTTTCCGTTGTCCACGACGAGTTCCGTCACAGACACAGGCCAATAGGAGCAGAGAAGTGCCTTCGTACATGCTTTCAAACATGCCGAAACGAAAGAGAGACAATGGTATCGGTCCTGCTAGGTGTAATTTTCACAATGGAGGAAATGTTCGTGGAGCTATGGCTACAATACTCCTGCATTTATGATGTTTTCTCGAGGGATTACTGCGACAGAGTGGAAAAGGCCAGTTAAAAACTATTTTACCTCAGTTCTCTTTGAGAGTCCTCTTCATGCAATCCAGATTTGTGTCCCTGTTAGGTTTTCTTTCTTGTTGGGCTTTTCTGACGACAAGACAGGGCAGAACACGCTGTTTGCTAGCCATTGTTTGTTTACACTCATGTCACCATCTGTCTAGTCCCGCACTATCGATGACAAGCATGCACGTCGTTAAAGACGGCAAATGAAGAATATTCGGGTAGAAACGTGTAGTCTGACATGTTTCTTGTTCATGATACGACAAGATTTTAGGAGTCAAAATTGTGTAATCTGGCACAGTGACTGTCCTAACCGACAAAAAAATTGTGTCGTCTGAACCGGGCTTTACTCAGCCTCGTGTCATTCCAAACCTGTATGACTTTCTTTCTTTTTTCTTTACACAAAGATATTTTGAATAAAATATTCCATTGACTTTCACTATTTGGCCAAAAATCCCTGCAACATTTTTTCAAAATATCTTATTGATATATTTAACTTGTGTTCCATTGAGAAAAGAAAAATTACTGAAGAATGACTTAAGAATGAGTAAATGATGATAGTGTTTTCATTTTTTGGTGAACTGACCCTTTAAGGCTTTGAGTAAAAAGCATTGCCAAAGTCCATGTCACATTTAGGTAAATTTTTCTGATGTAATAATACTCCCCAAAAATTGTAAACACTGTGACTCTGAAACACATTTAAAACATTGCTCTGTTTGTTTGAGTGTTTTGACCAGCCTGACATGGCAACATCGACTCAACCAGTGGCGAGACTTCTAGCTCTGCCAAGACCACCCTCTGTATTTTCAAGAAAATGTTTGCTTATGCACTGTAAAGGTCATACTTTGGTCAGGGCCTAAAGGTCAGGTCTTTTTCATCTCTCTCTCTCTCTCTCTCTCTCTCTCTCTCTCTCTCTCTCTCTCTCTCTCTCTCTCTCTCTCTCTCTCTCTCTCTCTCTCTCTCTCTCTCTCTCTCTCTCTCTCTCTCTCTCTCTCTCTCTCTCTCTCTCTCTCTGCTGGTTTAGAGCCACCAGGCCCCATTGACAACAGCAAGATTGCAGTAATGAAAGGCGGACATATCCAGCTTAAACAAGGTATGGACTGTGTGTGTATGCGTCAAACTAACATGTCTGTGACTCATCTTGTGCTTCAAAACCTTGTCTGACTTGCATATGTGTGTTTGTATATTGTTCATTATCTATGGCTTGGTTTGCAGGCGCAGACTATGGGCAGATATCTGAAGAAACGTGGCAGTACTTGTTAAGTATTTATGGCGGTGGGCCAGAGATTGCAGTGCGGCAAACCATCAGCCCCCCAGACAATGACACACATGGTGAAAGGAAGATAGAGGCAGAGACCAGAGCCCTCTGAAAGGGTAAGACACAGAGTAACCACAAAAAAGTATTTAAACACTAAGCCACACTTGTATGTGTTATGTGTACTGCTGTCCAAAAGTTTAGGGAAAGTAACGATTTTTTTAAGAATTCCACAAATTATGTCATATATATATATATACTGTATATACTTGTATTAAATTTGCCAAAAGTGACAGTAAAGACATTTATAATGTTACAAATTATTTCTATTTTAAATCATTTGTTTTCTTTTTAACTTCCATCAAAGAATCTTGATAATTGTTTCCACAAAAATATTAGGCAGCACAACTGTTTTCAACATTGATAATGACAATAAATGTTTCTTGATCCCTAAATCAGCATATTAGAATTATTTGAATGAACGGTAGTGAATTTCTTCGCATTCTATAAAATAAAGTATCATTTATTTGAAACAAATAGCACAAACATTCTTTTCAAACAAAATAATTTCACAAAACTGTTAGGTTTGATATGAGTAAAAAAAGATATGTTGTTCAAAATGAATACAAGTATTTAGCCACTTTTTGGTTTTCAAATGTTACAGAACGTGTGTGTAGCTGAAGCAGTGTCTACTCTTCTGGTTTACCTGTGTGAACTTGAGGGGAACCCTTTATACATCCTCTAGTCTGAGAAAGTGAAGTTAGGTCTGAGAAAAGTTCTAGAACCATTAATACTAGACATGTTTCATCAGCGTATGGTACAGACCGGTATGGTGTAGACTGGCTGATTCATCACTAAAGAAATACATCACCCTTGTGTATGTGTCATTCAGGAGTGGTGAATTCCCCAGAGTCACCCAGTGATTCTTCAATTATAGGGGCACTTCTACTACTTGAAATCCTGAAAAATTAAAGATCTAAAAATTTGGTTCGTCTTCATTTAAAATATTTGTCACTAGATCTGATAAAGGTCTTGATTAACTTTCAGGTGGATTTTGGTATAATGTGTAATGTATTTTCTGATAGTGTGTGTGTGTGTGTGTGTGTGTGTGTGTGTGTGAGATGGTAACATGATTATAATGACTATTCACATTTTGGAAAATGTGTTGAGTAAGCTATGGACTTGATGTTAACTTGAACTAAAAAATAACAAAACTTAAAGGTGCAGTATGTAATCTTTCTTTCTTTTCTCTTCTGTATTTATAAAGCACTTTCATCACAACTCACGGTTTACCCAAAGTGCTGTACAATACAACTAGAATCAGAGAAATTTGAAAACACAATATAAGGGAGCACAAGATAACACAAACACAATTATATAACTAGATAAAAGCTATTGACAATAGATGTTTTTAAGCAGGGACTTAAAAATTGGTAAAGAGGACGCAGTTCTAACAGAAATTGGTCATTTGTTCCATAGACTAGGACCAGCAACAGCGAAGGCTCGATCACCTCTGCAGTGGAACCTCGTTCTAGGAACAGAGAGGAGACCAAGATTACTAGATTTTAGGGACCGATTTGGTTTGTGAATGAAGATTGCTTCTGAAAGATATGATGGTGCTTGGTTGTGTAGAGATTTAAAAACAAACGTTAAAATTTTTAAAACAATTCTAAATTTGATTGGTAGCCAGTTTAACGAAATAAGTATGGGAGTGATGTGATCGAACCTCCGTCTGCCTGTCAGCATCCTTGCAGCAGCATTCTGAACCAGCTGTAGGCATATTAAAGAGGACTGACTTATACCATACTATATGGAATTATAGTAGTCTAGACTAGATAAAATAAATGAGTGAATAATCTGTTCAAACTGTTTTAAAGAGAGTAGAGATTTGATTTTCCGATAAACGCCGTAAGTTTAAAAAACTTGATTTAACCACTGCACTAATTTGCTTTTCAAAACTCAGGCTACAATCAAAAAGAACACCAAGATTTTTGGCACAATATTGTATATAACAATAATAATATTGACAGCTAGTGGTTGAAAGGGGTACTGCAGTGCAAATTCAAAATATTGTTTCTCCCACCTCTCCTCCTCAGACGCGACAGACCAAAACAAAAACAGGCATGCACATTTTCAAAGTAGAATAACTGGCTTTAGCGTTGTTTTTCGGAGAAACGATTATGTGAACTTGGCATGCTTCCTAAATATCTGCGAATGCATTATGGTGTTCTTATGCTTTGGTACAGACAAAAAAATGACATACAGCACCTTTAAAAAAAAGAACAAAGAAAGAAAAATGAAAATAAACAGTTAGTTTGTTAATGACTCTCTCAGATCATCATAGTGTAAAAAAATAAAAAATTAACATTGTGTCAAAAGGGAAGCCCACTGTCTTTGACTTAGAAAACTCCTGACATATGCTACTATAGTTATATACTATTATATATTATACATATACTACTTTAAAATTATGATTTCTTTTTTTAATACAAATTTTTACGTGAGTTTTTTTAAATGTCCCCTAGGATGATTTTGATAGGAAAAAATATAAATAATGTTACTTTTTTCCTGTAAAATCATCCTAGGGGACAGAAAAGTTCCCAATAATAAAATAATCATATTATTTTAAATATGATAAAACTTTCAGTTGTTATTGATAGGTTTTCTTTGTTTCTTTGCTCTGCTGTAGGTAATGAAGACCCATGTGTGGATGACCGTTACACACTGCGCTTACATTTCTGTCTCACAAGCACTTTGTGAGCTTTTCTGTGGATCTGCTAACTCTGACAGAGCTCTCCTAGTGTAGGAAAGGGTCTTATTTATTAAGTGAGTAAATCTGTTATCAGACACGCACATAAAACATATTTAACATTCATGAACAAGCTTCATTCATGCGTGCTGGTGATATGCTTGTTGCTGTCGTCAGTGGGACTAAGGGCGGTGATGTAAGCCTTTCTCAGTAGTGCAGAGGTAAATACATAATGCATCACGCAGGACACATTCAAATCTTTGTAAGAGCTCTTTGCTGACGTCTACCTAGGCAAAATAAGACTTGAACTTAGTACCTGCATGTTCAAAGAAGCTTTCCCTGCCACCCAAATCCACTATATCACTATGAAATCAAGCATGTTGACACTTTGAGTTTTTTGCGATGAATCATAATGGTGGTGAAGGATTAAACTTTCACTATTTCACATCAAAGTGAGTTCTGTTTACGTTCCAGCTCACTTCCTATACCTCCGTGATTTATGAAAACTATTTACGATTTCTGATTCATCTTAAGTAGCAACAGGCTGTGATGTCATAGGTGACTTTGCCTTTTCATGTTGATGATAGAAGTTTTCTTTAATCTAGGACTGTTTACTCAAATGCTACTGAAATTTGACTATCATCATACAATATAAGATAATATTTAATATTATAAGCTCAGGATGCGTTTTTTTTTTCTGCCATTAAATATTACATTTTGTTTTAATGCACTTTACAATCCTCTGTTTTGGCATAGCTCCATGCTCTGCCCCAATCAAAGGAAGTGAATCTTTAATGGATATCCCCATTTCAGTGCCCCAACTGACACAGGGTTGCGCAAGCTACTATATTTGTTCAGTATTAAATGGTCCTCCAAATTTTCTCTTATTTCCTTAGACTGGCAAAAACATAACTACTTACTCAAATGCTTGATGTGCTGTCTGTTAAAAGCTGCATCATGTATATGTTACAATGTTTTAATGATGCAGCACCACAGCCCCAAATGAAACTAACGTAACGTAAACTACATTTCACTAAGGGAACGTGCAATGAGGCGTATCAGATGTGTTACAAAATGTTAATAGAATGCTGTTATACTAGTTTAAGTATGTCTTTTCAGATGTATTCTTTGTACATAATAAAATGTAACAGTTTTTATTTAAGAAATGTCTTCTTTTCTCATAAGCAGGTCAGAATTGTGCAGAATTGCTGAGTAAGCAATAGTCCGTTACATATTTTGTTGCAGGAACTTAAAATTCCTAGGTAACTTCTGATGTAATGTCTTTTTAACTTAAGTGATTTAAATGTTAAGATCTGTCTGATTTGACAAATAGAAAAATAAAGCCTGTTCTTTCTCCACAGTGTCTGTTTCTTTTATTTTATTAGTTGATATACACAATGACAAATGACAATATTGTTGTTCCCAGATTTGTCTTCCTGATCTATGAGCAATGGCTGTGATGGGATTACACTCATAACTAGTTTGATCCACTTATAAACTTCAGATCTGTTTTGCAAAACCTAAACCCATGCTCACACTGAAATGGAAATCGTTATTTAACTAGCATTCTAATTGTCTCTGTGCTTTTTTTATCTGATGATTTTAAATAATTTCTTTAAAATACATTTTTTTAAATGTTGTAATAAATTGCACTGGACATTGACAGTTTACCCAGTGTTATTCTTGTTTATTTATATACTATGATAATATTTATAATTAGCTTATTTTGTTAGTTTATTTTATATTTTTATTTAACTTTATTTTTATTTCAAAAAAATTTTTTGTACTTAAACTTATTTTGTGTCATTTAGTTGCCAAGGCAATATATATTAATTTTTTATATTTATGTTTATTTATATATTTATCCTAATTTCAATTAACAAAAAGTTTTGATTAGTTTTAGTCAACAATAACTAAATCTAAAAATAAATAGCTCAACTCTTCAGCTTTTTTTATTTATTTTGTCTGTTTCTTAATGCCTCTTATTCTCTGCATACTATCTACCTACCTAAAATTACTTGTTTGCCATTACAACGTTTATATATATATATATATATATATACAGTGGGTGCTTGAAAGTTTGTGAACCCTTTAGAATTTTTTATATTTCTGCATAAATATGACGCAAAACATAATCAGACTTTTGCACAAGTCCTGAAAGTAGACAAAGAGAACCCAATCAAACAAGTGAGACAGAAATATGTTCTTTGTCATTTATTTATTCAGGAAAATGATCCAATATTACATATCTGTGAGTGGCAAAAGTATATGAATCTCTAGGATTAGCTGTTAATTTGAAGGTGAAATTAGAGTCCATCTGTTTAGACGTGTTTTTAATCAGTGAGATGACTATCAGGTGTCATTGCTTGCCCTTTTTTATTTAAAGAACAGGGATCTATCAAAGTCTGATCATGTTTGTGGAAGTGTATCATGGCACAAACAAATTAGATCTCTGAGGACCTCAGAAAAAGAGTTGGTGTTGCTCATCAGGCTAGAAAAGGTTTCAAAGCCATCTCGAAAGAGTTTTGACCCCACCAATCCATGGTCAGACAGATTGTGTACAAATGGAGGAAATTCAAGACCACTGTTACCCTCCCCAGGAGTGCTCCACCAACAAAGATCACTCTAAAAGCAAGACGTCTAAAAGTCCACTAGGTTTCAAAGGACTACAGGCTAACTTCTAAGCAACTAAAGGCCTTTCTCACATTGTCTAATGTTAATGTTTATGAGCCCATCATCAGGAGAACAGTGAACAACCATGGTGTCAATGGCAGAGTCGCAAGAAGAAAGCCACTGCTCTCCAAAAAGAACATTGCTGCCCATCTGCAGTTTGCTAAAGATCATGTGGACAAGCCAGAGGAATACTGGAGAAATGTTTTGTGGATGGATGAGACCAAAATAGAACATTTTGGTTTAAATGAGCAGTGTTATATTTGGCATATGTCCAGCATAAGAACCTTATCCCATCTGTGAAACGTGGTGGTAGTATTATGGTTTGGGCCTGTTTTGCTGCATCTGGTCCAGGACGGCTTGCCATCATTGATGGAACACTGAATTCTGAATTACACCAGCAAATTCTGAAGGAAAATGTCAGGACATCTGTCCGAGAACTGAATCTCAAGAGAAAGTGGGTCATGCAGAAAGACAAACGACCCCAAGCATACAAGTCGTTCTACCAAAGAATGGTTAAAGAAGAACAAAGTTAATGTTTTGGAATGACAGTCAAATTCCGGACCTTAATCCAATTTAAATTGTGGAAGGACCTGAAGCAAACAGTTCATAGGAGGAAACCCACCAACATCACAGAGTTGTTTACAAGAGTTTACAAAGTGTTACAAGAAAGAAGCAGTTACAAGAAACGTTACTTGCAGTTATTGCTGCAAAAGGGGGTCACACCAGATACTGAAAGCAAAGATTCACATACTTTTGCCACTCACAGATATTTAACACCGTATCATTTTTCTCACCAAATAAATGACAAAGTATATATTTTTGTCTCCTTTGTTTGATTGGATTCTCTTTGTCTACTTTCAGGATTTGTGTGAAAATCTAATTATGTTTTGGGTCATATTTATGCAGAAATATAGAAAATTCTAAAGGGTTCACAAACTTTCAAGCAGCACTGTGTATATATATATATATATATATATATAAACACACACGAAAGCGTAGTTCTCAAGCTGAGCTATTTCCATGGGTCTATCACAGATAAAAACTGCGTTATTAAATTTATAAGGATCCATATTTAGCTCCCAGAGCCCCAGGCATTCTTTAAGCATGCTGAGGAACAGCTACTCAATGTTACCTTCATGCTCTTAGCTCTGTTCATCTCATTTATCTTAATCACCACTCCCTACGTGCCCCCACCCTTCGTCTCCATCCTCCCTTTGTCCTCAGACAGCCTCTGGAATATTGCTTCAATCAGCTGCTCTGTATAAACCCAAATAATCTGACAGGGAAGGTGAATATTTATATGACAGAGCTCGCTATCAATGCTGATGTCATTGTAAGTCCTCTTTCTGTCTGCAGGCTGAAGAAAGGAGAGCGCAGAAGGAGGAGGAGAGAAGGATGCAGAGAGCTGCAGACCACCCAACTGAGCGCCAGTCTTGTCTGCTGGAAAAAGGATTGTAATTTTCTTCCCAATGTGAGTCGTCATTCCTCTCTTTTTGCGCAATTGCAGCATCTGGCTTTCATTATCTAAAGGGTCATTTCTGGAAATCAACATGTTTTGTGTATCACGTGGACAATAACATCTTGCTGGTCTACTGTGTCTAAACATTAGCATGTGTGGTACTAGCTGGGCTACAGAAACATCTGGCAGCTCTTTTGTTTAACACAACAGATAAACATTGCATTTCTGAGTCTAAATGGTCAGGCTATTGTTAGTCAAGATTCTGTTTACATTAACTGTTTATATTAACTGATAGTACCATGTGAATAAATTAACATCCTTGGTTCATAAAACATCAGTTTATAACTTTTAAATTGAATTCCTTTTTTAAAAAATGTATGATATTGTATTTATGGTATGAATAACAGTAACATTACTGTACACATAGGTGCAAAATCACTATTTTCACTGTCAACATTGCAGAAGTTAATTACTAAAAAAAACCTTTCTGCTTTATTAACAATTACAGTGGTATAAAATCTATCCAGAAGGTTCAGAAAAGCCTTTAAATGGTGGAAATCCTCACTAATGACTAAACAACCTGTTTTATGCAGATGAGGTTTGGTAGCTGCACTTTCTGCTCAGACTCATTGCTAATGTGAACAAACCCTCTTTGTCTTGCTGTTTTTGAAAGTTTCATGTTTTGAAGTGTATTGAAATGGCCTTTTTAATATAACATACCCCAATATTTCATTTAATATAATTGCTAATTTAAAAAATGCTCTGAAAATTACATGAATCAACATATCCATGTGATTTGGAGGAGATTATGCGGTCGGCAACCAGTAAATCACCAAAACTCAAATGTTTAAATGTCTCTATAAAAGTGATTCCCTCCAGTAATTTCAGACACAAAGGCAGCTGGCAAGAGGTGTTAATGATGAGCTCAGAGCAATGTTGTCAACCAGATCAGGCATGAGGTAATAACCTTGTTATTAACACTTCGGTGCGTGCAGAGCTACATCTCTGTCAGCCCTTCACAGCTTGATTGCTCAAAATGTTCAAAGCTAAGACCTGTTTTTCAGATGTAGTCTTATTAACAGATACAACACCTGATGCTGTAATCACACTGTAATATAATTATTTGATAGAAATGAATATTCTTGAAATGAATGAGCAATTGCATGAGGTATTGATATTAGGGTTTGCATCGGTCGATATTGAGCATTTAATTGTTCATGCTCATTTTCCCGTTTTTACATTTACATCACCTTTGTGTCATTTAAAATGATCTTTAAAGTCCCCCTGCAGTTACTAATTTGATCCCTTAAAACTCATCTTTGATAACCTTGATGACCTACTTAAATGTTTTTTTTCAAAATGTTTCTTTATGTAATGCTCTGTTGGACACATAATAGTAATTGATATCAGTAGCCTTTGGCTTGACTACCTTATCGAACAGCTAATAATGTGTTGTTAATGTTACACAAACCATGTTCCTGTTCACCATCTCAGACAGTTACCTTCTAAAAATCAACATCCTTTGGTAGAAACACTTTGCTGCAAGTTGATAGGATTAGTTACATGTTTGTGAAGATGGGGCTATTTCAAACCACAATTTTTGAGACTTTGGTAGGCCTACACTGCAGTTTTAAGTGGAAAATGCGAAGCAGTGGTGTTGACCGATGAGTTTGCACATGGTTTGTCTTTAAGTATATTAAAAACACCAGATAGATATATAAACAATGTTATAAACCTTATTTTCACCACAGGGGGTCTTCAAAAACATGAATAACTTAATGTTAAACGTAATCTTTAGCAAGTCCATTTTTCATACTGTACATACTGTACAGATTTGCCTAATGGTTATAGAGTTGGACTTGTAACCCGAAGGTTGCGGGTTCGATTCCCAGGTCCGGCAGGGATTGTCGGTGGGGGGAGTGAATGTACAGTGTTCTCTTCCACCTTCAGTACCACGACTGAGGTGAGACCCTTGAGCAAGGCACCGAACCCCCAACTGCTCCCCGGGCGCCACAGCAATATGGCTGCCCACTGCTCAGGGTGTGTGTTCACTTCTGTGTGTGTGCACTTGGATGGGTTAAATGCAGAGCACAAATTCTGATTATGGGTCACCATACTTGGCCACATGTCACTTCACTATTTCACTATTGCACTATTTCAAATTTATTTGTAGCATGAAAAACGATTGTTTTTAGTATAGTAATCAGCATCATCTG